CTCTGTGAATGCATACTAATGTGTGATTAGCAAGCTTACCTTACAAGGGAGGGGCGTCACGGAAGAACAGAAGATAAAACTGCTTGTCTGAAGGCAGCATCCAACTTGGCATGCACATCCAATCGATAGTGGGATGCAAAAGTTGACGGAGTGGACCAAGTAGCAGCCTTGCATATGTCAGGAACAGGTACACCTTTGAGAAAGGCAGCAGAAGTACCCACTACTTTGGCAGAATGTGCCTTAATGTCAGGATGTAGCAGGTTTTTTGCAAGTTCATAAGCAATATGTATGATGTGGACAATCCAACATGAGATAGTTTGGGAGGAGATTTGAATTCCTCTATGTGGCGAATGCGTGGAAACAAACCATCTCTTAGTTTTGTGGAAAGACACCATTCTTTTCACATAGAATGCTAGGACTCTTCTAACATCCAAGAGATGGAGGGATCATTCAAGATCTGTCGATGGCTGCCGGAAGAAGGTAGGTAAGATGATAGGCTGATGGACATGAAAATCAGAAACAACCTTAGGCAGGAAGGAAATATCGGGGTAGAGCATGACTTTGTCTGGGTGAAATTGCAAGAATGAGGATCCACTCGAAGAGATGCAAGTTTGGATGCTCTACGTGCTGATGTGATAGCTACCAAGAATTAAACTTTAAACAAGAAAAGTCGTTCAGATGAGGTTGCAAGAAGTTCAAAGGGTGGTAGTGTAAGGTGTTGGAGAACGGTATGTAAAGACCATTGTGGCAGTGGAACATGCCTGATCAGTTGCAAGTTACCACACCTCGTAGAAATTGTTTTAAGGTCAGATGTTTGAATAACGAGGCAGCATCCTGAGTCCCTGGGTTGGTGTGCTACAATTGCTGATAGGGAAACCTTAAGCATAGATAATGAAAGGTGACAGTCAAAAAGATGAGAAAGGAAAGCCAGTACTGCAGAAAGAGGAGTTGGGTTCATAAGAAGGTTCTTCTAATGTGCAAATTTAACAAATGCAGACCATTTATACTCATAAAGGGGTTGAGTAGAAGGTTTCCTAGCATGAGCCAGAATAGTGTTTAGGGAGGGTAGATTCTCCAGGCTATAGGGTGGAGTGATTGAAGGTCGGGATGGTAAGCCTGTCCCTGGTGCTGAGTGAGAAGGCAGGGTATGAGCGGGAGATGAACGGTGTCGGATGCCATCGACTGAAGCATGGTGAACCATGGCTGTCTTGGCCACCATGGGGCTATGAGGATGGCATTTGCGCGATCCTGCTGTAGCTTGATCATGGTTCATTAAGAGAAGAGGAATTGACTTAAGTTGCTGCTGACGAAGTTTGATGGCTTGTTTAGTGAATTTTTTACAGAAGGAGCAAGTAATTGGTTGGTGAGATTCTCCCAAACAAAACAAACAAGAACTGTGGCCGTCTGTGAGAGGCAGTTTGTTAGGGCAAGAAATGCACCTCTTAAACAGTCCTGTGGAGGGCCATAAAGGGCAGAAAAGGGGTGGTAGGAAAAAATGGGATCAAGTCTCTACAAATAAAAATGGGATCAAGTCTCTTACAGATTTGATGTATTGAAGTCTATTCTTCTATAGAATCATTTTTGTTGTTTATTTCTCTAGAGAAAAGAACCAAGAAACGTGAATGGAGAGCTCGTCAAGAGATGAGACCTCAGCGGTGGCAAAAAGGAACCGAGGCAATTGCCAGGATGGGCGGACCACGTGTTGGGGGGGCGGTCCTGGCAAATGCGTGTTTGAGCTCTAGAATATTCCGGAGATCTCTGCGCAGGTGCAGATTAAACCCATTAGTGTGCATTCACAGAGACCAAGAAGAAGAACATTGGATTCCAGACTAAGTGCTTTTGCCATTGCATGGGCAAAGATTATGTTATAGTCAAGTCCTAAGAAAGAGCTGTTAGTCAGTACCGGGAATGAAACAAATACTCAAACAGTCATTAAGAATTTGTATTTAAATGTGTTTATGGTTCCCAAAAATCAGTTTTGAAGGCCTGAAAGAAAATGCCAAAGAATATCAGGAGACATACTATAGGCATTTGCATAGTTCGAATAACTTGCCATGGTTAATTGTGGCTAACTGACAAAGTGCTGTGGTGCATCTTGGTTGTGCAATTGTATGCATGGTCAGATGTGCAACTCAAATGCTGGATAGGGATCCAGCCTGTACTGCTTGGGGTCACACTCCCCTTGAAAAATCAGGTTTGCAGTTTGGGTGAGCCTCTGGATTCAATTCTAACCTGGATGCGTAAGTCTCTGGGGTGGCCAGAAGTGCATTTGCAGTTAAAACTGGTGCATCATCTGTTCCTGTATCTTGAGATGTCTGATCTGTTTTCAGAGACACACACCTTAGTTATATCATATCTGGACTACTCCAATGCATTCTATGTGGGACTGCCTTTGATGAATGCTTGGAAACTTCATCTGGTTCAAAATATTGCAGCCAGAATATTGACAGGCATTGGTTACATGAAGCATGTAACTCCTTATTACAACAGCTTTGCTGGCTCCCCGTTTGTTTCCAGGCCCAATTTGAAATGCTGAACTATAAAGATCGATATGGCTTGGGTTCAGGCTATTTGAAGGATCATATCACCTCTTATGAGCCTACTCGGCTTTTAATAATTTCTGGGGATGCCCTTCTCTCATTTTCACCACCTTCCAAAACTCTTTTGGTGAAGACATGAGAAAAGGTCTTCCTTGTGGCTGCTCCCAGGCTTTCTATATACTGTCCTAAGCAAGCCAGGTTGGCCCCCTCCCTCTTACCCTTCCATCATCAGGCACAGACCCCCCCCCCTTTTCAAGGCAGACTTTTAAACAATAACTGGGAATCTAGGAAACACTCTTATCTATGACATTTAGATTCTTAAAAGTTGTAAAATAGCAGTTAATTTTGATTAACATTTCATTTTTTAAAAATATAGTTTTGTATAGTATTTTAAACTTGTTGTTATTGCACAGTTTTAATTGTTGTGAGCTACCTTGGATCCCCATGGGGAGAAAGGCAGCATATAAATAATATAAATGAATGAATGTATAAAATGCTTCATCACTTGACTGCAATTAGCCATGGAAAGTTACACCAACCTATGCAAATATCAGCAGGTCTGGCCGTTGAAAATAAAGCACCCGTAAATGTGAGCCAAATTGTAACTTTCAGCTTTGCAAATTGAAGTAAATATTTGCACATTCTGGTCTTCTAACTTGTCAGAGTAATACAAAAAAGGAAGACATATGCAACTCTTGAAGTAACAACACACTTCATCTTTAGGATACCAAGATGGAAAAGAAATCTGGGTTCACTGTTATTTTGCTACAGAACTATGAAAGATACAGGCCCACTGTCAAATTTCCCTTTGGCTAACCTAGCTACAATTCAATACCAAGCCTACCCGGTATATTTTAGATTGGTGATGGACAGCTATGGTTCTGTGGGTATACTCTAGGTTGTTATGCTGATAAAGAAGCTCATGCATTGGGTGATGTCTTCACAAATATTGGACAATAGCACTGAGCATTGCCCAAGCCAAACTATGTACCATTTGTGCAAAGCTGTGTTTAGTGAGAACTTTTCTGAACAATGGGATTCTAAAGAGGCAAAAGGTAACACATTTGCTATGGTAACACATTCCTGGAAGGCCTGCAGGAAAGTTGGATGAAAGGTTTTCTATGGAAATGCCGGATGCAGCAAGATTGAACTGTGATGGAATAAGCTCAAGCTTTTTTTCTCAGTGTTTGACGTAAGCCACCATCTTAAACCACACCAAGTAGGTTGCTATACATGGTGAGCAGTGTACTCTGTGTGTGTGTGTGGGGGGGAATCTGTTTCTTTAGTCTTCCTTTGCACAGAAGTAAAAAGCTGACACAATATGTTGAGGGCAGCAGATGATCAAGCTTCAAATTGACTGGGCAGGAGCTGATCAGTTAGGTATAATGAGATGTAATAAAGTTTAATGAAGCAATAACAATTTAAATTAGGCATCACAGAGAGTTTAATGGTCAGTCTTTTAAGAATGTGCACCAACATCACAGGATACATAGCAGTGGCTTACTGTCACTTAAGATGTGTATGCAACACAACTCACTTAAGGGGCACTGGTGCCATTATGACAGGTATGCATTCAAGAATGATGGGGTGCATAATTTCTAAAATCAGAAGTGTTGGAATTCTGGGTTCTGGGCTGGTTGTATCTCCTATTCAGACATCTTACCCCTAATCTTAAGCATCTGGTACTTGGCAGCAAGGGGAGTGTTTGCAGAGACTCAGAAATATACCTTTTCTCAGTGGTACCTCATTTGTTTTAAGACAGTCTGAAACACTGAAATATGCTACTTGAACCAAAGCAAGGGGATAAATTAAGGCCTATCTGATCTTCCTAGGACCATGTTTGTTTGTTTTTTAAACTCTGTTCCATGAACTCTTGCAGATCTTCCATGCAGAGTTTCATGAATGGGTATACTGATTATGAGAAGCAAGTTATTGCCACCATTACCAAACATTACCACAAGACAGTGATACAGGTGAGTTTTCTTTAAATAGTGCTCAATTATTTTGGTTATCTCAGCCAGCTTAATTGCTACCTTGCACAAATTGATATTGTATCTCAGTCAATGCACAGGGGATTCTGTGGGCAATGCAGGAATTTCCTGTTCAATAGTTCAAAATGGACTAGGTTCTTAGAAAATAGGAAGTTCAAGAAACATCTTGGCATGAGAATTCAGAGAAAACAGGAAAGAACAAATAATAAACGGGATTGTGGTAAAATTGCTACTCAAAGTTTTAGGTCTGGATTGGCTAAACTGTTGCTTCAACATTTATTTATTTATTTATTGGACTTATATACCGCCCCATAGCGCTACAAGCACTCTCCGGGTGGTTTACAATTGTAATTATACAGGCTACACATTGCCCCCCCCCAGCAAGCTGGGTACTCATTTTACCGACCTCGGAAGGATGGAAGGCTGAGTCAACCTTGAGCCGGCTACCTGGGATTTGAACCCCAGGTCGTGAGCACAGTTTTAGCTGCAGTACAGCGTTTTAACCACTGCGCCACGAGGCTAGTTTGTAGATTTAGAATGGGCTAACTTTTCCTTTTTGCACTCTGGTGGCTTCTAACAACTATTTGCTCAACCCTTTACTGTAAAAAGTGAAAAATGGGTGCCTGAAATAAGAGTTCATTTTTAGTTAAGCAGCTTATTTTCCAAAAAAAATTATAAAGAGTATCTTAAAAAAAACCCCAGCACAATGCCCAGTTAAGTGGTCTGAGTTATACATGGTTGACACTTTTTTGAAAGAGAAGGAAAGCTTCAGAAGAGAGTATGGTGTGTAGAATATAAAACGAGTTGAGATGGAAGACATAAATGTGTTAAGGTTTAAATGAGTCAGAACAGGTTTTGAAATTGTGCAAACTTTATGACAAGAGAAGGGCACAGTCCTACAGAGTTAGTATTAGTGTAAGTCTTATTGACATAGATGGAGATCCCACAGGTTTGTACCCAAGGGAGGTAACACTAGGAGAACATTGGTATAAAACCTTATAGATGGTTGCAACTTATACTTCTATGTTTCCTAAACAGTATAACAATATTTAACAGTTGGTGAGCTATTCTGAAACGTACACATTATTAAACCATCTATTAACAGTGTTTTATAAATTGATTAGAAATGTTACTCTAATATAAAGTAGACCCCTCCCCAAAATCTAGATGCAATCCTCCTCTTTTACAGGAGATTATGCTTTAACAAGGGAAAGTCAAATATTACTAAATTGCTTTATCCATCAAGTCAATGTAACCGGAGAGACTGTCACTATGAGCCACAGGACTGTATTTAAAAATGAGATACACAATCAGTCCATGGAAAATGGTTGGCTCCTGAAGTAATCCTATCAAGGACAGATCCACTGACTATCTGGCTACTATATACAATGGGAGACTCTTCCATACTATTAAAGAAACACATATAAAGCAGAAAACAGAAGCATGGGCCTAGATTATTGTATATTTATGAACAGTTTGAATTTGTTCTCTTTGAAATTTGTGTTTACAGGATTAAAAAAAATTAAAATTTCCCCTAGGCTCACTTTGTTAGACTTTTAAAAGTATAGAACTGGTTAATCTAGTCACACTCTATACAAGCCTGTGATAATAAAATAATTTCTTAAAAAAGCAACAAAAAATTTGTGGTTGACTACCAAAGCCTGTCTTTCCACTACAAATATGATTTTTCCCTACAGACAATAATTAGCAGACAAATACACTGTTTGCAGCTGCAAATTGTGTTGAATTAAAGGCAATTACAAAAACCATCTTAAGAAAATAAATGCCATCCACAATGGAAGTTTTCTTGGGTGTGTGCACGTGTGTTTGTGTGTGTGATTGCATGCAGCTGTCTCTTTTTTCTTTGCTACTGTGCACTATAAAAGGCTGAAGCCTGCAAAGACAGACTCATGCAAAAAAAGATGCACAGTGAGCAGAACCATCGGTTCCAGCAGGCGTTACTAGAAGCATGTTGTGGCCCATGCAGGCAGTACATCTTTGCAGGGTTGAGCCTGGGAATAGGAAAGTGTGCTCAGGTCTTTTGTAGTTTATGTGTAGCAGTTTCTGTGATTCTCCCACTCATTCACCCTCACACACACATGCACACAAGGATCAAAGTTAAATTCCTGTGACAAGATGGTTTCTTCATTTCAACCTTCAGCCATAAACGAAAGGGCGTGGGTGGGAAAGTGTAGTTTTGGTTGATTAAAGATGCTGCTGCATGAAGGAAAAAAAATCACAAAATCCATTTTTATCACCTTTTTTTCAGTCATTTCCTCATGAATAAATATTATCCATTAAAAAACTTTTTAAAGGTGCTGAGATACACAGTGTTATAATTCTGCTTCGTTATTGACTTCAAACTTGTAGCTTATGACAGGACTTCTTTTCCGCTTTCGGGAAACTATTCTATTTGCCCATATCATGGAACAAACAAGGCCTTTCTTCATGGACAAACACAGTTCCTTCCACTCCCCCTCCATACACACGTACTCAGCTTCCCAGTTCTTCTGAGCTCACTCTGCAGCATGAACATGAGTCTGAGGGAAGCAGCCTCTACTAGGCTCCCACTGTTAATTCTTAGACGAAGGTCAGGTTGCTTCAGCTGCCCTTCCAACCATCCAACTAGGCACAATTTGCAGCAAAGAAGGAACACTGAGGTGGGGAAAGGGAGAGAAATGCGGACCTTTCATGCCACCTCTTTTCACTAATAATAGAGCCTTACAAAGCTGAAACCTTGACAATGTTGCTGCTCGTAATGTTCGTGGAGTGGCTGGGGCTGGATGGGGCAGGCCTGCTTTCGCCTTCTGGGGTCAACGCCGGTGGTGTTGGGATGCTGATGATTGCTGTCGTTATTTGGGAGGCTTTGCAGTTCGGTCTCAGACCATCATCTGATTTCATATTTAGGCTGGAGCGACTAGAAGACCAAATAAACAAACATAAATCTTGGTTTGTTTTCAAATATGAAAGGAGCAGAAATGAAAAGACAAGAGTGGCTGTTCATACTAAAGTCTGGATATTCGAATATATGCCTTTGTACAAACGAAATTAATTAGCACCTGTCCAGAGGGGGGAATTTGGAGTGGTTCACACTTTAGAAGGTTCTTATCTTCAGTGCAACCTATTTTATCTCTCATTTGGGCAATCCTTCTGTTCATACTGGAGATGTTAATTTTCTCCTGAGAACGCTCCACGTAAGTCTTTGCATTGCTGGTTTACTTGTGTGTATGTGCACCCAGTTTACTCAAGAGTATGTTTACCTAATTTAAATCATGCTGAATCCTGACAAAAAGAATATATGCTCTAGCACAGTGGTTCTTAACCTTGGGTTAGTCAGGTGTTTTTGAATTGCAACTCTAAGAAACTCGTGGCGCAGTGGTTAAAACGCTGTACTGCAGCTAAAACTGTGCTCACGACCTGGGGTTCAAATCCCAGGTAGCCGGCTCAAGGTTGACTCAGCCTTCCATCCTTCCGAGGTCGGTAAAATGAGTACCCAGCTTGCTGTGGGGGCAATGTGTAGCCTGTATAATTAAATTGTAAAATCGCCCGGAGAGTGCGTATAGCGCTATGGGGCGGTATATAAGGCCAATAAATAAATAAACTCCAGCCAGCACAGCTGGTGGTGAAGGCTTCCGGGAGTTGTAGTCCAAAAACACCAGAGTAACCCAAAGTTAAGAACCACTGCTCTAGCACTGTGCCAGAAAGGAGTAGGACGTCTCTTAAAGGGGCAGGATGGACCAATCTAAGTAGAAATGTGTGGAAGCCAACATTTGGTTTGAACCAAACCATACCAGCAGTGATCCATATACCTATCTATATGCTAATCTGAACAGGCCAACAGAGAGGGGAAGTGTTACTTTTTTCTCAGTTCTAGCAGTGAGCCACACAGGAATATATCAAGAACAGGAAATGTTTTTGTCCTCCTAATGTTTGAACTGCAAATCCCACATTTCCTTGTCCCTCCCCTCCCTGTATTCCTACCCCTGGGAGTTTTAGGCTGAAGCATCTGGCCAGGTAAATGTTCATCATCCCTGGAATATAGGCTACTCAGGTGGCAAAGCTTCCTTCGTGTTTTAATAAACTGGCAGTAGAAGGTTTCAGGCATTCAGAAGTCAGATGTCAATTATAACAACCAACATCTCAGGGTCTTCCTCTCCTTTCTGTTCTCTGATTTCAGGCTGGAGACTGGAAAAGCCTGTTCTGGGAGAAGTAGCACTGAATGTGTTTCTGCTGGTCAGAAAAGTATAAAAGACACAAGGGGAAAAATGGACAGCCTAAATTCCTGTACTGTAAAATAAGTGACTGTGTTTTCGTTTAAGTGAGGACTATTCAAGGACACATAAGTGTCCTGAAGAAATACTCTAAAGGTAAGAGCAGGGAACATTATTTCAGACTGAAGGCTGAATTCACTTTCAAATTCAATTACCATGTTCAATTGATGGGTAAGGAAAAAGGAGAAAAGATAGAATAAAAAAACCACCCCAGCATATTTTACATTAAAGCCTTGCATGAGAATAATTGGCTATAATCCTGCGGGTGCTTGTATAAGATTTGCATAATGTGCCACGGCTAACTGAAGCTAATTGATCAGATGCCGGGGCATATCTCTGTCATGTGCCTGGTCAGACATCTGACTGTGCAGCTAAAAGGAATCTGGGCACCTTGTCAATTAGCTGCAATTAGCCATGGAAACTTTATTTGAACAACAATAGGCTCCTGGCCATTTAGTGGCATTCAACATTTTAGAATGGAAAATACGCATGCTAAAATGTCGGGGAGTGGGGAGGCAGTTTCTGAAATGTCTACAAAAGCTGGAAAGCCATCAAATGAAGGTGTCATGCGGAAGGGGCCCTGAGCCTCTAGAATCTCAGAGGCTATTCTGGGGTCCCAGGAGGAAGAGATTCAACCTAATGCAGGAGGTTCCCATTGCTGTGATAAAGGGAGATCTAAACAGATAGCAACACAGATTCTTTCTGCTTTGGGAGTTAAACCACAGCAACCAATCAAGTCCTATTGAGTCTACTGCTTGAACACTTACCCTGATAATCTGTTCAGCATTAGAAATCCTTGTGTTTCTGTAATATGCTTACCCACAGATCAGCCTAGGCTACTTCACTGTAGCTTTCTCTTCTTTACATTAACTCATCAACCAGCTTCTCAGTACTGGTTTTGAGAACTTGGTAGCCAGAATCATTTCTATTAGATTGGCACCAGTTGCATCCTATAATTAATAATGGGGTGGTGCTGGTTGGGAATGACAGGGTTACTCTCCAGGGAACTACCTGGCTGCTGGAGTCCAGCATTTCAGTGCATAGCATTGGCCTTTACTAAAGTTGAAATCCTAACTGCAATCTTAGAGCATGACTCATAAAGAGCCCCCTCACCCAAATCAGAACCATTCTAGGCATACTGGTAGGATCCTCTGTGGTTCTCTAGAATAGGTGCAGCTAGGAATAATTTTTTTTTAAAAAAAATCTCTGATTTTGTTGTATTTCTTCACATCTCACCAAAGTCTCATACAGGATTGCAGGAGTTTGCTCTTCCTTCCTATACTGAAATTTGTATGCATTTTCCCCTTTTTGTACTTTACCTAAATAAATCATTTATTTACACATTTTACCTAATGTAGGCATTTATTATGCATTTTATCTAATTTGTATATTCCTCTCACAGATTGAAACATGTTTGTGCTTATTTTTGAAAAGTATGTTTTTTAATGATTTGCATTTTAAAGTAAGCATATTGTTTTATGCCTACTTTTTCCTTCAAAATGCTGTGTAAAGCGTAGAAGTGTGAAAATTCTCAAGGCAAGGTGTGTCTCCTCTTGCAACAAGCCTTGAGAGGTGTGAAAATGCTACTTTTGCTCAGGCTATTGAACCCACCAAGCTTCTTTTCCATTCCTAGATGCAGATTTGAGGGATGACAGCAACCTCAATGTCCAGAGTAAGCAATGGGACATGTCACAATGTTAAATTAGGACCATATTACTATTCACATTTTACAGAGGAGACCTGCAAGAAATGCACATCTAGATGGACAACTCCACTCCTGATTGGGCAATGCAGCAAAAACTATACAAATCCTAGAGTTGCTTCTGACATTTTATCTAATGTGTTAGTTAGCCAGAAACACACATTAGAGATAGCCTATGAATGGAAAAGGAACATGCCTAACTAATGTGAATGTCACAAGCTTTTCTTATTTCTGGGGTTATGTAGATTGGCTTGTACTGTTTGATGATTAGTCTCTATAGATGCTGGACTTTGGATATTGATTCGTAAAAATCTGGACTTGAATCTCTTTGTATTCAAAACCATGTTAGATTAGAATTATGTTTGCTCCCCCTCTTAATTTTTCACCCCAGAAGGATTCACAATCTTTTTACACATGCATGGCATGAAAGTGCAACATGCTCCTTCCTAAGCCAAAAATAGCTGTACCTATGGAATCTGGCCTATGGAAACGGGAGGAATTTCTATTTCAGTTTGTTTTTTATAGATTGGCAAGCATTTGCAGACAAAATATGAGGCTTAAAAGATTCAAATGCAGAGGAAAATGAATCTGACAAATGTTCCCATCCTTGCTAGTAGCACATATGCTAAAGTCCTCTTTTCCAGATGACTGCCACTGTACCTGGTTGTGAGTGAGGGCTGCTCACTGCACTGGATGTGTATGGTGCTGAGCTCCTGCATGCTCCGTAGCCGGGTTGCTGGCACACTGGAATTAGGAAGGTGTGTCGTCTTCTTGCTGCGTCGCGAACAACAGGATGTGGTCAACCCATGGTGACTTGAAAGGGAAGGGCTGCGAGTGGATGGATAGTTCTGCATTGAACTCTCCAAACAGTTCTGCTCAAACAGCTGTTCGTCAATGAATTCATGGTTCTGCCAGGGAGAACATCAATAAATGTCAGTATCTTCTAAGGTTACCAGGTCACCAACATCTGACTCCTTGAGATTTTAGGGTCAAAACCTGAAACAGGGGGAGGGGTCTTGTGGTGTTGTTAAAGTGGAGCATACAAAGGTTGGAAGGGATGCCAGAACTGCTTCTTTACTAGACAGTTCTGGAAATAGATACAATATGTGCCACATCTTGAAAGACTGGTATTCCTGTCCTCATGTAGAGCCTACAAATGAGGAGGAGTTTCTCCTCTTCAGGCCCATCTTTCTTCACATGGAGAAAGGAACAATGGTGAGGAAATGAACTAGTTTTTCCTCTCTAGAGATGTGACTACACTGAATTTGATTTGCAGACTGTGTTACATTTGAAATCACAATCAGTGCTCACACAGGGATTGTGGATTGTTTTGGGAGTCCACCATTCATACTGGATGTAACATGTTGCATTCCAGCCCACAGCCCCCTTTCCTTCCTTCCTCTGGTCTTGCCTCTGTTCATCCGTTTATGGTTTTCTGTGAAGCCATTTTCTCAAAGCTTCAGACTACTACATTTGTCAAAAAACTTTTGGTAGAAAAATAACATGGAAAGGTACTTCACAGTCTGAAAATAGAGAACATCAAAGCTTCAAACAGTAATTGTGCAAAATACATCATAATTCGTACATCAGAATAATAACATGCCATTAATTCAGACTTATAGCAACTCTTTTCTAGTGTTTTCTACATACAGAATACTCAGAAGTGGTTTAGCTTTCTCCTCTTTTGGGGATGCTCTTTGCATAGCTTGCCAAAGACTACACGGACTAGTTTTTCTGAGAAAAGAACATCTGATTGTGGCATGACACACACAGTGAAGAAAATTGGGATTTGTATTCATGAAGGCTTTCACGGCTGGGATCTAATGGTTGTTGTGGGTTTTTCGGGCACAGTTTGCTGTCCTCTGAAGATGCCGGCCACAGAGACTGGTGAAACGTTAGGAAAAACCACCTTCAGAACACAGCCAAGAAGCCCGAAAAACCCACAACAACCAAAGTTGGGATTATTTGTTCCTCTTCCTGGACTAGCTATTTATGGTTACGAGAATGCCCCTTGTTTTGCCTCAAAACATTTGAGCTTCTATGTTTTCATCCACCAGTGACCATTCTCTGCACTGCTATTCACCCGATCCCTTGTTTGCATGCTCAACAGGAGCTGTGATTTCCTTATTTTGAAGACTGTTATTCACCACCCCCCTCACCTTAAGGAGAGGATAAGGTGTCCTTGGATGACCCTATAAACAGGCCCTGAGGTTTTCTTATCTGTGTAGGCAGCTCCTGTGTGGGGAATGGGGAGTTTTTCTCACAAATTTTTGGAGAAGGCTACCCCTGTCCTGGTCCATGAAATAAGTCCTTTTTAAAAGAGTTACCGAGCTTTCCGTAAGAAATTTGAAGAAATCACTGTCATCCCAATTGAGGGAGAAATCAGTTAGTATTTTGTCTTTGTTTTGTTTGTTTGGTGCACATTAACCAAAGGTTCCTTGCTATCTCTCTCCACCCCCTATTGTGTTTTTTTAAGATGGAGGGGGGGATGGTCTGTGACTTTTCCAGTCCTAAGGGAGATGGGGAAGTACTTATGTGTGGAAATGTGTGAAAATAAGTACAGTAGTGAGAGATGAGCAGCTTTCCCTGGGAGAACACTCTTATTACATTTCATTTCATTTCTGTCCTTTATAGATCCAAACAATCTTTTTGCATATCTTTAAGACAAAAACATGCACATCAGAGTATTATGGGATTCAAATGTGAATAAACACAGAGTGCACTGTAGCACCTGTACATTTGAGGTGCTTTTCCCAAAATAAGAAAAGAAGAATTTTGAGAAACGAGTGCAATTATTCTATTTAGGTTCCATTTTAAAATAAGGACACAGTAATAGGCAAATCACTGAAGTGTCCTGTCCACTTTACATAGTGCAGAGGTGGGGTATTAAATCAACTGATAATATCTAGGAACAAAGAAAATGATGATAAATTTGTCAGAAGAAAGGGAAAGAGAGGCTAACAAAGGGCAAATGAGTAAATTAAGGAGTGGGAAAAGGGACAGCCTGAGAATTTTTCCCAGGAAGTGCAATAGAAACTGATAGATGTGGACTCTGCAACACAAAAGCTGTTACACAGGTTGAAATCCTTGTGAAATGAAAGAAACGCAACAGTGATGATACAAACTAAGCATTTTGCAGTGCAACTCACATCTCATTTTTGTTTTTCACTCAAGGAGGATTTACATAGTCAGAGAATGGTGAGGATAGAGAAATCATGAGCAAGTAGTGCTTCCTTTTACTGCATTTCCTCTGTAACAAGTAAATCTGCTATATTTTCTGCATGGTGTGATGGGGGAATTATAGATATATATAGAGCTCATGAACTATGGAGATATGTGGAGTGGATATATCTCTCCACTTTGCCTCTTGGACTGGGAAGCGCAGAAAGGGGAAGCCTGAGTCACCCATGCTTTCTCTGTTACTGCTCTTTTGAAAGTGCAAAGCTGCCTCCAGCTTGAGTAGGCTGTAACATGGTACATTGTGTGAGGGAATTCAGTCACCCAGTTGGAAAATTCAGCTCCTGCAACACGAGTACCTTGGTTATTTAATGTACTATGATGCAACTGGTTTAAGAGTATGAGGCAGGATGAGGTCTAAGCAGGGTGTTATTGTGGTTAAAATGGTGGATGTAAGTGAAAATAACATGGTCAGGAAAAGGAAGATACAGATATTTTACAGTGAAGCATGAAACAGACAAATAGTGAAAAAGAAAATTCAGCCTAGCGTTCATATGCTAGGTAACCAGTGTCCTTTATACGTTGTAGCAAATTCTAATTTGTGACTTCACCATATAGTGCCACCACAATGTTTAAACATCTTTGGGATCTGTTAAGTCCTTCCTGTGCAAGAATCCCCTCAAGAACAAAAGGTGCCAATCTGATGGAATGGCTTCCAAATGTCTTCCATCCTATGGTGCTCCCTTTTGAATTTTGGATTACCTTTTCATGGCTATTAGCCTTGCAAACTGGGGCTGGTGAGAGCTATAGTCCCAAAGAGAAGTTGACATTGGGAATGCCCAAAAATACTATACAAAGTAAAACTGACACTGGAATAAGTGGCTCATATGCCACTACTGTTTCATGTACAGCAGTGGCATATGAAGAATACTCTAGACTAGAATCACAGTTTTGTGTTATTTAGTACTTTGTACTCATAGAAGTAGCTAAAGGGGATAAAACCTCAGCATACACAGAAGAGCCAAGACCCCAGAAACACTGCAGATACTTTGAAATTCACATTTAGCATCTTCCTTTTTGAGCAAGAAAGTGTTTTAGAAATACATAAACCAGTTACTCTTTGTTATCCAACAGTCTTAAAGCACTCAACGCCACTAGGTAGCCAAAGAGCTCCGACATGCACAGTTTGCTAAGGAGAGGGTCACTGACAAGGAGGAAAACAACACTCAGGACATGGCACAGAGGCTGCAGTAAACGGATTGAATTAAGAAGGAAATACCTTGAATGTGGAAGTTCGTACAGATAACAGGGGATCATCCACAAGATAGGACAACCCCTAAAGGACAACAGGTCAACAAAAGATAAAAACACCATTGATTGTCCATTCCAGCATTCCAAAATTCAGCTCCAACATTTCACCTGGCACCACACAAATTTGAATGGGCAATGAGGCCTTTCCTTTAACTGATTTCACAGTGTACTATCTCTTCAAACAAGGGCACAATCCCAAAGTTATTGGAAGTGTCAGTGGCTTTATTTTGAGAGATATGAGGCCCAGGGGAAAACAAACGGTTAGTTGTTCAACTGAGATTCTCTCAAAAGAAGGCACTTGAGCAATCTGTATAATTGTTTTAATCAGTTGGTATAACCAATTGGAGAAGCTAAAGAAAAAGCGGCATGCATATTAGTATGGAATAGAGGATTAAACAAACTTTGGATGGATATGATTATTTATTTATTAGTCAGCAACCAATCCATCCCAACTTTGCTTTAGTTAATTTGCTAAATCTGGATAGGATTTGTCACATTTTAACCTTGAATTTCAACTGACATAGGTGATACTGTGAAAATAGTTTCTGGTTTACAGAAAGGTGACTTGCCCATTGAAATCTGTGGGTAACTTATGTATGGCTCATTTCTTCATTCCACTGGCAATGCTGTGAGTTTGCAAAATGACTCTTTGGTATTTCAAGATTTCATAAGCTATGGTGAGAAGTTTTTTTTTTTGTTAGTATGATGCATTTGTTAGTTGGTTAAATATGATGGAAATACATGCACTTCCAGCAAAAATGCTGATTAAACTGTTGTGATGGGTGCACTGAAAAGCCCACAGTGAGCATGCTGCGTGTCAGTCCAGGAATTGACAGCCTCTCTGTTGAGATGAGTTTAGGTCAGCAGCACACCCTTTCCAATAGCCAAACAGCCATTTGTTGCTGGTTGAGGTTGCAGTGAGCCAAATCCAATTCCACACTCCAACCCATCCCAAGTTTCCAAATTTGTGATGTAGCATTCTTTTTAATTTTGCTTCTCTTTGGATTCCAGATAAATGGCAGACAATTTCCTAATCAACTTGTGTCATATACTGTACACCTTGGTATCAATTAGTTCTTCAACCAATCAGTTTTAAAAGCCACTAGAAATTTTCCTCAGTACTCCTCTTATTTCTTATAGTGAAACTGATCCAACAGATAATTATTTGAATCCTTTTTAATGTGTTAAATAGTTTCACAGTGCTTTGAGAATATATTCTTTTTAGACATCAAATAGAAACAGAATTGAAGTAGAGTGATGAGGAATACTCTGCCCACTGGCCTCACTTGCTAACTTTAACCAACGGTCAAGGTTTTGGAACAGAGTGCATGGTCATCTAAGTTCAGAAGTCCTGGTCAATGACTAGAAGCTGGGGAAAGATCGCATGCATATGTTCGTTATCTACAAAGTGCTTATATGAACAAGATTCCCCTTTCTTTATCAGCATTTTATTCCCATCTTTGTCTCGTTGTGTTCAGAAGCGCATGCATGAAGACATTCCAATTAATCCCCACAATGACGCTGCCAGGTGGATGATTTGTACAAGGTCAGCTAGCAATATTAATGGCTGGACGAGAATTTGAGCTCTATTCTCTACAACAACAGCAAAACCTGGGGAATAGCCCATTTACATTTTCATGCGAAATGCTGATATAAATATCATGAATGCAATGAGAAATACAATATATTTTTTTGCTTATTTGCTGGATACTAGTTTTTCAAAATTCAGTGTAAACTCAGAGCCAATGTGGCATAGTTTTAAGGTGCTGGACTTGGGAGAGCCAGGTTCTACATCCCACTGTATCACGGAACCTCCTAGGTCACTTTGGCCAGGTAGCCTTGCCCTCCTCATAGGACTGTCATGAGAATAAAATGAGGAGGAGGAGATGAACTGCACTGGACTCATTAGAGTTAGGCAGGATATAAATGGTCTATTAAATTCTCACTCTTATGTCTGAGGAAGTGGACATGTCCACTAAAGCTCACATTAAAATATAATAGTTTTTAAGGTGCCACAATGTTATTGTATGCTTTTTCTATTGTTTTTGCATGATATGCTAGCATAGTTTACCTATTTTAAGATCAATGAATTAAAGCATTGACATTGTGTTCAAGTGACTTCACATACATTATTTCAACTGCACCATTCAACTTTGTTTATGAAGAAATGTCTCCTGAAATTTGTTACGTCTCATTGGGGAGATGATATTCAAGGCATATCTGCAGTCCTTATTTCAGGAGGTTTGAACATGCTCATGCAACATATCAGTCTCTGCAGTCCTCATGTGCCATGCCTTCTGGCTATTGTGGCCTTCTACCTGTTGCTATAGGTGGTAGTAATGATAACAATAAACTGTGTTTTCTGCACCCACCATTGAGTTGAAGTGGGCTGTCTTCAAGTATGTTGCTTTTTGCTTAGGGCATTATGCTGCACTGCACAAACAGAAGCACAGGCAGCAAACAGACAATAATAATTTCATATTTTCAAGCAAGAGGAGGGTGGGGGTTTGGAGACATGATAACTAAGATAGTTTTTGAGCAAGCAGTCATGGGCAACAATCAGGGATTCTGGATGTAGATATGCATCTTGATGACACAGCTAGACAGTTGAGTGGGGATCAGTATGTTTAGCAGTGAGAGGTGTATTTCCACAGGCTCTGTGCAGGAAAGTCTGATCCACAGGCAGATCTTTTGGGGCTTCACCAAGCTCGTTTTTCATTTTTTAAAAATTCTATTCCCTGCAGCAGAGTAACCAGAAATAGAGGAGTTGATCTTCTAGATTAGGAGTTGACAAAGGAGACCTTCTGAACCTTGAACAAAATGTGGCTCTCAAAAAAATAGCAAAAAAATCATTGCAGTCCCGAAAGCCTCCATGGCCAGGATTTTGTCCCCCTACAAAAATGATTCTTCCTACACATTTTGTTTCTGTTTTTAAGTGCTGAAACAGGTCAAGGGCACAGGTGAGTGTGTGGGTGTGAAACTGTTTGCAATTCAAATTATACCTTCCCAGAAGTTCATGGAGGATGGGTTTTGCAATTTGATGGCCTATAAAATATTTTGGGTAGGTCTGCACATTAGACATATTCAAGAGGGACCCCACACCTCTTGAAAGTTGCTTGTCCCTGTACTATTTGGTATAGTCTTCAGGTTGAGCAGAGCACACTGCTCTGATTCCAGAGTGTTCTCTAATATCTTGTAGCAAATACAGGTCAGCATCTCGAATTGATGCTGACCCAAAACACACTGGCAGTCAAGACAAATTCACATCTCTTCCTTTAATTCTCAGTAGCAATATTCCCTTAGACACTAAACATTATAGCTAATGGGTTTTTGTTTGTGTGTTTGTTTTGCTTTAAGGCAAGAGTCTGAAAATCACATGCCCAAAAGACACCTTGAGAACTGGAAAAATAATCATTGTCACAGACTAGAACTGAGATTGTTGTGCAAGCAGAATGAAATGTGTGAGTTTAACTCTGTTGTTCGGAGAAGTGAACAAAATGTAGCATATACCCGGGATGCTATGAACTGGCACACCAGAAGTCTAACAAGTGATGGAACATGGATGGCGTTATGGTCTTATAATTGAGTTGTAGCTTTATGTATCTCAAATAATTGTTTTAAAATTTGATCTCATATTCTTTTTCTTTTTTGGGTCATTAATCTTGTAATGGTAATTTTATACAGTACTTTTGTAAGATGATAATAATAACGAAAATGTAGATTGAATATAGATCATCAGGACAGGTTAATTATATCAGCCCTTAGCATAACAACTGGCTGGCTGAACTGAGTTATTTTTAAAAACCTATTTTCTTGGAGCAACACAGTTTGCTTCATAAGGCCATGTATACCATAGTATCTACATTTATGTCTTTAAAGGATATATAAATCTCTCTGACTACTTGGTATACTCAGCAGCATCCCTCTGTCTTCTTCCACTGAAGCCCATCCATCCATACAGAGGGTGAGATTCAAAGTGAGATGTTTCCCGGTTGCTACTTACAGTTGTTTTTTCCAAGCAGTGCAGCAGATGGTGATGCTGACTTTCAATGAGAGAAGTGGCTTTGCTGATGTTGTGCTCATCGTCCATAGATCCCTAGAAGGAGAAAAGGTATAATGAGATCAGGGGCACAAAGAGAAAGACAAACATGCATGGGAGCTGGAAATATGAGATGAAAAACATCAAATGAGTGCTTCCATGACACTGAAATCATAGTAACAGAAGAAGAAATGCTACTCTTTCTACCCACTGTTAATCCAAGACCTGTAGCTGAGCAAGAGAAGGAGGTCACCAAAATGACTGTAGGCAATGTAGGCTGCAGAATGCAAAATAACTTTCAATGTATTTATTCTCAGTGAATTTGCCTGATACATTTCAGCATATTTCCTTCCTTGCTATGATAAGGAGAATAGGAATTTCTTCCTATTACAGGATAATAAGTAGAATAAGATCTTGCCTCTGATGATTGTGTGATACACCAAAATGCAATGCACTTGTTGTATATGGAGCAAATCCTTTCAGCAACATTTTGAAGCTTCCCATCTCCTTTTTAAGCTTCTAGCAGATGTCACACATGATCCCAATGTGTGGGTCTCTTGCAGGTCACAGATGAGACTGAATTTCAGGGGTTCATCTGACTCAAACAAGGGAATCCTAGAAGTGTGTACCTCAGAATTATTTCATTTTTAAATGTATTAATTGATTTTGGTTACTTTAAATCTGTCTGTAGCC